ACAAGGAAGGTCAAAATGTCACCTTGCTTGACAGTCTTTGGTGCGTACTGGATGACGACATTATCATCCAGTCTCATTTCAGTTAGAGAAGGGGCAGCGTGGGTCTGGTAAAGGAAAACACTCCCAATCCTCTGCAAGGGCGGTCCCGACTCATCGATGTCATTGCGCCCCGCTCGCACCCCGTCACTTCTCCTCACATCCTCCTTGGCGCACTCCCCTCTCTCATCCCCTGTTTGGATAGAGTAGTAAAGCTCAACAGGGCTCCCCTCTGACCTGTCCATGTGTTTTTTGCGCCCAGCCACCACGCTGGGGGGGTTGAACCAGCTGGGCAGCAGCTCCAGCTCGGCCACGCACAGCCCCAGGTCGCCCTTGAGGCGGCAGCTGCCGCGCACCTCGCGCGTCTCGCGGAAGGCGAACACGCGCAGGCAGGGCAGCCGCTCCGAGGGGCTGAAATCGTCCCAGTCCCTGCCCACGATGTAGAACAGCACCTGCACCTTGGGCTTGCTCAGGTAGATCTTGGTGCTCAGGATGTAAGCCTTCAGCTTCCAGTTAAAGGAGAACTTGTCGGTGGATGCAAAGGGGTTTGAAGACAACATCAGGTCCTGGGGCACAGCCTGTTCGATGGAAAAGGGGCCGTAGCTGGCGTTTAACACGGGTGGGCTCTTGGATTTGTAGATCAGGAAGGATTCCACTCGGGACTGCAAGCTGGAGTTCCTCATGATATCCTGGTTGGCTTCCTTGAGGAAGAAGGAAACGTCGGCGTTGTGGATGCGGTAGGTCACAGGCAGGTAAGTTGGCAGCAAAGAAAACCTCTGTATGCTCTCCAGGATCCCCCGGCTGTCCGTCACTGTTGGGAGGAAAGGACAGTTTAAACCAGAGTTTAAACCAGAGTTTAAACCAGCAGCTCTTGAAGGCATTCTGTGCTATAACCTCACTGAGGGGTGGGCAGTGCTGTGGGGGTTAGAGGCAATAAACATCACCAATCCCTCACAGGTACCCTGTGAGATGATGATTGATCTGATCAGCTCAGAAAGCAATGGTTTATGAGCCATTCTGCATGGCAACCACATCAAAAGGAGTAGATCATGTAGGTTTGCACACACCAAAGGTCACACCTTCACTCCCAGCAGACATTTATTACCAGAGAACAGAATTACCCAGTCAGGACCTGCAACCCCAGAGCACTGCACAGGGACATCCAGAGAATCTGAGCATTACAGCAAGCTCCACCTGCACAGGAAACCAGGRCAATGATTTCACATCAAATGCTGCAAATGGACCTCTCAGAGCTCACTCCAACCTTCCTTTCAGCACTCTCAAGCAATAACATGGACCCCAAATGGTTTCCTGCACAAGGCTGAATTTCAGTTTTTTAAAAGCAGTTATCACAATAACCATTTACACAACAGCTCCTTTACATCACTCTGGCACTCCAGCATTTCAAAAGGAGCTGTATTTGCATCCAATTTACAGTCCCCTCTATTTCCCTTTAGCCATGAATAGAGGGGTTTTTTTCTGTAAATCACCATCAGGATTGGTGCCCCTGTTGTTGTCTAACCCTCACACAGCTGCACTGTGCATCACTGCAACTCAAAGAACCTTTTGGATGGCACTGAGCCTCTCCTGCTGCAGGGCACCTATTCCAACTGTGCCATCCACAATTACCTGAGGCAGCCTCAAAGAATGAGCCCAGCATCCTTTCTATGAACTGTCAGCCCCAAAGAACAAAGACACGCTGTCAAAAATACCGATGCAAATACAGCAGCACCTTTCCTGTTTGAACATCTGACCTTCGTGCTCACATCTTCCACCCTAATTACAAAATAAATTGCGTTTTTTTCCCCCATAGCAAATTCAAATCCTTACCCTTATTCAAAAAGGGGATAAAGGCTCACCACAGATGGCATTCAAAGACAGTCCAGTTTCTCAAGCTCTAATTCACAAATGCTTTAGTTGACTATATTTTTTTGCTTGGCATCTGACCTAAATATTTATTTACTCAGTGAATACTGTAGTGGCCTAAACTGATGCCAGTCACTCCCAACTACTTTGTCCACCCTCAGACAAGTCATTTTTCCTGTGTTGCTGTTCTATGCCCCAAAAACAGAGGTTATTACTATTTCTTTCCCCTTCCCCTTTGTCTGTGCAGTCTGCAGCTGATTTATCAGATTTATCTGATAAATTTAACAGATTTATCTCACTATTTGTGCAGGAGCAGCACATGAAATCCCACGGCTGGGAACTGGTGAGGGTCTCCAGGCACTAACACCACGAAAAACAATAAACTGAGGTTTAAAAGGAGGAGCAGAAAACTTTCTAGGTGCAAAAGCAAAACCAGYTGGATTCCTAAAAAAGATAATCCACAAAAACACTTAAAAACCAGCAACAATCAAAACAAGGTAAGGGTGGGCATCACTCAGAAGGAAAATCTCAGATTGAAAAACGCCAGGAAGAAAGTTTCACAATTTTACAAAATCTTTCCATCTTGGAAAAGTGAAATTCCTCTTCCAATAAAGAACTGCAATAAAACCTTTCTTTTAAAAGTAAGGAAATAAAGAACTGGAAATGAAGACTATCTGAACAATCAGGAAATGGCCCCAGCGCACATCAACGTATAAGACTGTAAACTGAAAGCCTGGAGTTCTGTGATCCCCCAGAGGTGGCAAATCCATCTTAGATCTTGAATAAGGATCATTTTTAATAAAGAGTAAATTGCAGAACTTCTTTGCACACAAAACCACCCTTCATTTTAGCCTTAGAGAGGGAACTGAATGCTGGAAAGACTTTCTCCAGATATTGAGAGCAAATGAAGTTTTTGCAGACCTTTTTCTGGATAATSCTCCCACAAAGGCTTTGGAGTACTGAGTGCAGGGCTGAGCTCTCCTGGGCAGCCCCAGGATCTCCTGTGCTCTTGTGCTCCTCCTTCCCCACCAAATGCTCCATTTATAAACTCCACACTCATTTCAGACTCCTCCCAACACCATTAAACACAGCAAGGTGTCAAAGCAGCATCTTAGGGAGAGGAAAAAAAACCTCAAGGTATTCAATTTGTTATTCCCCTTGTTTTGATTGCAGCTCCCTCCCTCCACAGGAAGAAGAACATTATTTTTATATTAAAATTAACAGTGTTTCRCCTCGTAATTTTTTAATCATTTATTTTAGTGCTTAATTATCTGAGGGATTAAAAACCTTCCCTTTGTGTTCCACATCTCCACAGGACAACATTCCTGGGATTTTATAAATCAATGACTCTTGGGAGTAGGAGAACTACACAAATAGGGAAAAAAGGAAAGAGTGAAGGTGAACTGGGTGTGAAAATAGGAACTGGGTGTGAAAATAGGAACTGGGTGTGAAAATAGGACCCAAGCTCACCAGCTGAAATGGGGTCCACTGGTTTGAAGTTCCTGGGCAGTGCCAAACTGGTCCCCTCTCCACTGTCCTTCCCCCACCACCAAGCTGGGAACGTGCACTGAAAATCAACTGGTTTGTGCTGGAAGTGACAGCAGCTTTCCAAACAGCCAAAGGCCAAAAATTCAAACAATTTCAAACCTTTATCTGGGGAGAGTTATAATCAGCACAAACATGGAAAAAAAAAAAGTCTCCAAAACAACACTGAGCTCTGCTGTACCATCTGGATTTTGACCGTGAAAGTTTATTAAGGACTCTGAAGGATAGGAAATTAAAAACAAAAACAACGATCAGCRTCCTTAATTACAACCATGACTATTTTGGTAAAAATTATGCATGTTTTTACAAAGGCAGAATTGCAGAAGATTACAATATTGTGTGCTATGAGTGAGACCCAGCATAGAAGTGGTGTTTTAAAGATTTAAATTCTATAATCTACCCCAATATTACATTATATGTTGAACCTATTCCATCATTCCACTGGAATAACCCATCTGAGTGATTAAGACAAGACTGAGACAGTGACTCTGAATGTGTCAAACACAACAAAGGATGGTGAACTGAAGTGCTGGTAAGGAAACAACATCGAGACAAAAAAAATAAATAAATTCAAGAGCTGCAGTTTACCTCGACTGCATCACAATGTCTGAGAATTGCTCCCCATGGAGACCTTGGCACAGATGGAMCAGGATGGATTCCTTTCCTCTGACTGACACTGCTTAAAAACTCCTTGTCATGGATGGAAGAAGCACAATGTGGAGGTCAGTGAATCTGAAATCATCTCAGAGAAGAGCAGCACGTTGGGTTTTCTCCTGCACAAACCTTGTGCCTTGGTGGATCCCTCAACWCCAATTTGTAACTCACTGCATTTACCTTGCAGACTCTCACTGCTTTCCTCATTAAGCTGTTAATTGTGTACTGCAGCCTGGCTAAGGATCCTCAACCTTTATTTCTCTATATCACATCACTGCAGCTTTCAGTCACTGACAAAAACACTCTTTTTATAGCTCAGTGCAAAGTTATTGACCATGGCTTCAGAAAATTGAACAAATCTGCCAGACCACTGACTTCATTCTGTATTACCAGATCCTTGGGATTTCAGCCCTCACAGTTACTTCATTTTTAAAACTGTTCAATCCACAATCATCCAGCATTCATGAGATATAAAACTCTTCCAATCAATTATATAATGCTACTATTAAAAAAAAAAAAAAGTAAATTGTCTTTTTCTTGTAGATGGAAGGGAACGAGTTCTTAGGAAAATTGCCTTACAGCTGCAAGCTCAGGCTGGTAATGCAATAGATCAAATTTGTTGCTGTATCTTGGGGATTGAGATAAGTGGTTCATTTCAGTAAGGCCAGAAATTTTACCTTTTTAGTTAGCTTCAGCTGCTCTCCTTGAATCTTTTGAACACTTCTGCTCTTCTAGGTTTGCTATAAATTGAAATCATTTCAGCCAAAATATCCAGGAAAAAAAATCTGTTAGTGTGATAATATTTTCAGCTCTGGAAAGTAATGTCACAGGAGACATCTGTTTCAATAAAACTGCAGGCTCACTTGAAAAATTAAGATATTTCAGTTTTAACCTAGTGAAGTGGCTGAATCTCTAATGCTCAGAAGGGAGGCATTTTAAAGCCAAGCTATAAARAGAGAGTCCCTTCCCCAGGGACAGCTCAGGCAGCTCCTGAGTGAGGATGATCAGCTCTGAATTCTGTGAGTGACACAGAGGGGCAGAATGTGTCACAGGCAGATCTGAGCAGGGTCATTTCCATCCTACAGGGTTTGTTTGTCATTCCTTCCTTAGGTCCCAGCATCCTCCAAAGCCCTTAGGAACCAGACTGGAGCATCCCATGGATGACTCCTGTGCTCCTTCTTCTCCAGCCTTGGTTCCATTCCCTGGAACCATCAGCACTGCACTCCTGACCTTGGCATTAAGTGCTTTCTGTGCTTTCTTGACAGAAAAGCAGCTTTATGACAGTGGCCAAATGGACGGCGAGGCTAAATGTAAGGGGAGGACTCAACCAGCCAGATTTTCCTGTAGCTTCCACTACTTCAACATTTGGAATAAAAAACCCTCAAACCCACAACAAATAAAACCCAACAAAAGCTCTGCCACGCTCGGATGAGGTGGAGCTGAGCCATGCCCAGAGGGACAGAAGGGGCTGAGCTCCAGCTCACAGGAACAGAACCAAGGCGTTCCTACCCTGCAGATGAACTGTTTATTCCAAGTGCACAATTGTATTTCAGGGTTTCCAGTGACCCATCGTTCCTGCACAAACTAAAGCAGCAATTGTCACTGTCAATGAACAGCCACCACTGACATTGGAACACTCACTGCCCAYTGTGCTTCACCTCCCTGCCTGGAAGAGGAAAATCAGCTCACCAGAGAGAAATTAAAGAATCCAGCTGTCTGCAGCAAGCACCCTAACCTTTCCTCCTG